AGAAAGGCTATGTTCTAATGTTTTCTTAAGTAAAACTTCCAGGCCCTAACAAGTTGCATTTTTAGAAAAATCTTACTCAACTTAACTCCCCGTGGTTCTGTAATGTCATCTATAGAAAAATTCTTGAAACAGCTGTGCCTCTTTGTGTCTGAAAGATTGCTCTTTCCTTGGTCCATGAAGGTTTATAATTATGTTGATTTAAAAAAAAACCCTCCAGCTTGGACCACATTTCCCTCTCCTGTTGAATTCTTAATATTTTATGATGAAGAGATGCATGCTTTTTCCTGGATCCTTCTTTCTTTTTTTTCTCACCCTTTCTTCAAAGTGGGATGTTTTGCCAATAGCTTTACTGGTAGTACTATAAAAAGTAATGGCGGAGAGCCTAAGATTTTGGACTTTCAAGTCCTACTTTACTCTTTAGCATTGTGATCCTGGGTGAGTTACTTAACTGCCTCAGTTTTCACATATGGACAATTGCAACAATAATATTAACTACCTCACATGAATTTTCTGATGGTTATAAAAGACATTATATGATAAGAGGCTTAGCATACTGCCTGATTGGTGCCTCAACATAAGAAGAACTGTCTTTTCCCCAAAATGTCATCATCCAGAACATGGGGTGGCTTTTACTAAAAAGTTATTATGGAATCTCTCATAAGAGATGTGCTGTAAAATAGCACATAAAAGCACATAAACACATAAAAGCACATAAACCCTAATGACCTCAGTGAATGCAAGTTTTCCATACCTAAAGGGATCATCTGCCATGATAGGTTCAGAAAAGAAGCCCCCCAAATTAAGAAATAATTAGTAAATGTTCCTGGAGATTTCACCTTATGACATCAAGTATTGCATGTCACTGTGAACACAATCTATAAAGAGTCTTTAAAGAGGAAAATTCTGTGTGTTTGGGTTGTGGAGGTTAGGTATCTACTTCTATAGGATGAAGAGAAGAGTACATGCCCCAATGTAATGCTGATGAATACTTGGGGCAGGAGGTAATATTGCTACCAGTTGCATCACGCACAATTTCAAATAACTTAGATGGAAGAGAATATAATGAGTGCTAGAAGACTGTTCGACATCTCAAAATATGCATCCAGAGATGATAATGACATGATGATGAAGATGCATGTGAAGAACTCCAAGTAAGTTATTCCAAGTATCATGAGGGTAGTAAAGAATAATATATCTGAACTATGTCTAAATTCATGTACTTCATACCATATGTGATTTTAAATACACTCACATATAGAAATGTACAAAAAATAAACCTTAGAGGCAAATATTTAACTTTTTGTCTCTAAGTCGAAGTTAATATACTGAAGTTGGCTAAAAAACATTTTGGGAATCTTCTTGTTGAGAAAATGGAGGACTCATATTCTGGGCCACTGTCTGTTCTAGCATATATAGTAAAGAGTATTAAAAGATTAGCCCCAATCATGGCAGTAACATTTCAAAAAAGATCAAGTCCCTTTAAAAAGTAATCAGTCTGATATTTTGAACTGGAATATGCATATCTTTTATCATGGGGATTCCTTTTTTTTAAAAAATTCAACATTATCTCATTCTATTGGTCTTTGAAGCTATTAAATTTTGCTTCCTCAATTACCATCTTTCTCCTATCTCAGCCCACTGACTTTGCACACACTCCCTAAACACACACACATATTTTTTCATTCTATAAAAATAAATCACTCTATAACTTCTATGTTGGTTTATTTCATGATAGAGTATTATTCATAAATTCCTGTTTAGTGTATTCTATGGACCAGTCACTGTTTTAAGAACCTTATGATCATCCTGTTTAATCCTCACAACCACTTTCTCAGATAGACACTACTGTTATCCCATTTAAAACAAGAATAATTGAGGCACAAAGAAGTAAAGCAATTTTCTCTAGGTCATATAGCCAATAAGCAGGAGAGCCAGTATTTGAATTTAGAGTCTGACTTCAAAATCTCAGGCCTAACCACAATGCTATACCCCTCCACTGGCTAGGGAGTCTTGTTTATGTTTATTTAGTAATGAAACAACTTTTAAATTACAAAAATAGCACATGCTAAATGTTAAAAAGCAACAGTAAAATTCCTAAATTTTTAAAACCTCAAACAATGGTAAAATACAAGTTGAGAATGAAGGTCCCTCTTCCCCCTACCAATTTCCATAGAGATGACTATTATTAAAAGTTTGTGTTTAGCCAGGGGTGATGGTATGCACCTACAGTCCCAGCTACTCAGGAGGCTCAGGAAGATCACTTGAGCTCAGGAGTTTGAAACCAGTCTGGGCAACATAGAGAGATTCTGTCTTAATTTTTTAAAAAAGTTTGTTGAATATTATTTCTAATTATGTAGACATAGATATAAAATATATATTAATGACATCACAGTAAACATATTCTTCTGTAAGTCATGACTGATTCCTTTATATGTCATGCATGTCTTTCTATGAAAAGATGTGTGATTCTGCCTTAATTTTATTGGTTCCATAGTATGGATGTAGCATCATTTCTGTAGTCATTCCACTATTCATGGCCATTTAGATTATATTCATGGGAATATAGGAAACTATGGAAATGAATATCCTAGACTTTATCATCTCTGTGAATGTCAATTCCATTTTTCTCCAGTTCAGGCTTAATCTTGATATTGCTCTTGATGCCTCTTTTTCTCTAATATCCACATAAAATCCATCAGCATATCCCATTGATTCTATTTTTAAATATATGCAGAGACATTGGTCATTTTGGTCATTTCTAATCACCTCTTCTCACTATCATCAAATCCATTACTTCTTATCTGAACTATTGTCATTACCTTGTAACTTGTTTTTCTACTTGCCAATAGCAGCCAAGAGTGATCTTTTAAAAACTCAATCAGATAAAAATTGCTCTACTCAAAGACTCTCCATCTAAGTCACTAACAGTCAAAGTACATGCCATGATCTTTAAGACCCTCCCTGAGCCAGCATCCTACTACTTTTCCAACCTTGACTTCTACTGCATTTCCGTGTATTGACATTACACCAGTCACATTAAAATATCTGCTATTTCTTAAATATAATAAGCACAATTTCTCCTTAAGGTATTTGAATTTGTTCCCACTGCCTACAATCCTTTGACCCATTCTTCCCCCATATTTGCTTGACTGACTTCTTCATTTCTCTTTTAGGTCTCTGTTCAAATGCGATCACATCTTATTTGTTGAATGAGTGTTTAGTGAATGAATATATCTTTACCCAACTGAATAAATATTTCTGGAGAATAAATTTCTAGAAGTGAAACTGCTTACTTATTTCAAATCCTTCGTTATTCCAGTCCTCCGTCTTATATCCTTGCCTATTTTATTTTAGTATTCTCATGCTCCTCTTCAAAATGCTTCTGTGTTCCTGTCTGCTGTTTCTACTGTGGAAGGCTGGCTGGCTTTCTCTCTCTCCTGGGAGCTCTGGAAGAAATGGAGACACTAGGCAGCTGGTCTGATTCTCGTGGGCCACTTTGCAAGGCTGTGATTTCAAGAGTGACCTTGGGGTGTGACTGAGTTGTCATTAAACAATTTAATAGATGAAAGAATCCCCTCTTCATACTTCAGCCACACTTACTGCTTTCCAAATATCTGGCACCATGTTGTAAACACTCAGTATTGTAAAGAAAAGATTTAAAAAAGAAATCTGTCTTATCATATTGGTTTAAAATATAGAGGATGTATATTGAAATTAGAACAAGTCAGAGAAATCCTGGAGTTTTAGTCATGAAATAAAACTTTTGTCCATATGTATCTTTAAAATATTATGGCATTTTTGTTCACCCTTACCACATTCCATTTGAGAAAATCATATGATTACTGTTGATGACAAAGCGATTTATGATTTCCATGATTTCCTGGATAACTAGGATAAGAATGAGTAATTAGAGTAAAAAAATTATGGACCTTTGGAACTAGGAGAGCTTATTTGTTTATTCCCCTAATTTTCTACAAAAAAGGAAACAGACTACTGTAGAGGTTGGTTGACTCATTCAAGCTCACACAGCTAGTTAATGGTACAGGTGGGTCCTCTGACTCCAAAAATAGTGCTTAGTAGCATCCATGGAACAGTGTCTGTGAACCAAACCTTGTGCTAAGTGAAGTTCTACCTGCTAGATAATTCCTGTTCCTTCCAATTGTCCTGACACCCTGCAGTTTAGTTAGATTATGTGATTTGGCCTCATATTTCTTCTGGAGCTAGTTGGATAAGGATCACCCTATTAGGGTGCTTAATTTTGTGCTAATGATCCTTCTTTCTGTCTGAAGTCTTCAGGTTACAGTTTTTTCAAAGAAACTCTGTGCTGCTTGTCCTTTTCCGCTTGCTGCATGATGTGCACATCGGTGCCTCCTGCAGCCTTCCACTTGTTAATTGCCTCTCCTTCCTAATGAAGCCTGTATCAGCTCCAGTGCTAATTGAACTTCGTCCTTCATTCAGACTGTGTTATTAAACAAATAGTCACAGTGTTTGGTCTCACTTTAATAGGAGCATTGATGTTTGCTTAACATCAAAAACTTATTAGTAATCCATTGAAAAGGCAATTAATGGAGGACATGTGGGTAAGGAAATTGAACTAGTCTGCACCACAGGACAAAGAATGGCAAAGACACTCTGGTTTTCTAAGGTTTAACTGTCTGTATCCTGGTAGTTGCAAAATGATTGTTAGATTCTTGACTCTTAACCCAAATCAATGAATTTATCATTTATGTAAAGTAGCACTTACATGTCTAATATCAAAGCGAAGGATAAGCTGGCTTACCTGTCTCTGAAGTTTTCAATCATTCTCCCTCTCTCTTTATAACATTTTCCCCAAGTTTTTTAGCAGGACTTATCTTGGTGGTTGCAGAAAACATGAACAGGTGAAAAGAAGGTAATGTGTCACTTGCAGTCTTCCCACCTATAGCTAACCACTGATAAGCTTTGGTGTGTATTCTTTGTTCCTTGGTGCTGCATTCTAACACACACAGAGAGGCACAAAATTGGATTACATATCATATTGACCTGTTGTTTATTTTTTAATTGGTCATATGTTGTAAGTATCCATCCTGGACAATAAATAGAGACCTATGTCATCATAGTCAACGGCTTTGATATAATCTCTTGGTTGGATAGGCTGTAATTTATTTCATCATGTTGTAAGAGGTTTAGAAACAAGTGTCTCTTACTCCATTGTTTACATAGCCTTAAGTTGACTTTATTATTTGAATGAGTAATAGTAATACTAGAAAATAGTAACACTAGAAAAAGAAAATTGATAGACTACTCCGTTATAAAATAACTGTCCTCTGTTTTGTGAGAATATGCAATGTTTGGTATTATCAGGGTACAAATTTATAGGCTATATAACAACTTTTCTGAGTATCCAATTTTCTTTACTTGCAATTTCACCAAAAAATTATTAAGAAATAACAGGAGGTTGTTCACGAACTATTTTTAAGATAATGGCTTAAGGTGGGATTTTTTCTCTACCTGTATACTCATGAGGATAAATGATACTTGGGTTCAAAGGAGAAACAAACTAAAAACATGAATCTAATGGCATCTGGCAGTGGAGTAAAGCAGAGCAGATCAAATTCTCTTTACAAACCACATTAAATAGATATGAAAGGAGAAGAAGTAATAACGGGGTCACTCCATTTGTTCCACGGACCTGGGATATAATGTGAAACTTCCATCTGTGTTAATGAGTCATGCATGGCTGGGTCCCCAGGCAATATTTAGTAAACGAATGGTGTTATTGCCTGGCAGGGACCCTTTTAGAAAGTGCTGTTGTTGCGCGAACCTAAATATATATATACACACACATATATATGTATGTATTCTGGTTTAGCTAGGATTATGATGCATAAAATGTTGGTAATAGGTTTAAAAGATTAGCATAGACCAGCTTTCCATGAGATTGTTCTTTATATAAAAAAGTTAAATGCTATTTCTAATGTCATCATAAAAGTCAGGCTGGAGGATTATCGATTTTTTGGAGGCTTTTACTAGATAGCTTGATAATTGACTCTCTCAAGTTTTAACACTTGGCCCTGGGTTTGCTGTTTACCTTGCTCAAGCAATTTGGTGTAATTAATTTTTATAGCTGTATTTGCTTTTAGGGTTTATATTTTGGTGGAAAGCTATCTCTAGTCAAAACCTCATAGAATTACTTTTTTCTTTGAATTAAAACACAATTGTTTAAAATAAGAGTCTCATCTATAAAATTAAATAGAGAGTAAAATGCAAAATCTTTTAACATCTTTACAACTACATCAGATAGACATGTCTGTGGATAAGGATTGAAAAGAAACAAAACTGAACGCAGTTAATGTGTTAGGTAGTAGAATTGATCCATGTTTTTAGTAAAGAATAAGTAAACATAAGGGAAAAAGAGCATGAGGTGAGTTGTTGTTTGTCTGGTAACGTCAATTTTGACAGTTTTATTCGGTTGGGGCCGCAACTATAGCTTGGCTGCGGGCAGGACACCGGCCCTCACAGGTTGCTGAGTTCCAGCAGGGTCTGGTCCAAGATCTGATGAATCTCCACGTTCTCCTCCTTGGCACTGGCCAACGTCTCTTCTAGGTCATCGGTGGTTTTCTCCAACTTTGCCACAGACCTTTCGACAAACTCTGCTCTGGTCTCAGCCTCCTTCAGCTTCTCCTCCAGCAGTTTCATCTCCTCTTCATATTTATCTTCTTTGGTGGAAGACTCCTCCTCTGAGGCCATCAGGGACTTGAGGGTCTGGTCCATGGTTTCAAGTTTCTCCTCCAACTGTCTGGCTCGGCTCTCGGCCACCTCAGCTCTCTCTTCTGAGCGCTCCAGGTCTCCCTCCAGGATCAGCGGTTTCCCGGCCACTTCCTTGTATTTGCCGTCTGAATCCTCAGCGATGAGCTTGGCCTCCTTCAGCAGCACCTCCTCCGACTCCATCTGCTCCTTGCCTTTCATGGCCGGGTTTTTATGACCTTCATTCCTCTCTCACTCTCATCGGCTGCCTTCTCCTCGGTCTCCTCTAGCTTTTGCAGGGCTGTAGACAGCGCTCCTGGGCCCGGTCCGGCTCCTCCTCTTCCTGTTGAATGTGGCGGTTAAGGGAGGCCATATCCGCCTCAGCGTCGGTGGCCTTCTCAGCCCGCTCCAGTTTCTCCTGGGCCTACTTCACGGATTGAGAATACTTTTCGCCTCTGTCCTCTTCAGCTTTTTCCGCTGCCCCTCCAGCTGCTTGCAGTGGTCCTCGGCTTGCTGCTTGTTGGCTTCGGCCCGCTCCGGGTGGTCGATGGCGTTCTTCTTGTCCAGCTTTAGCATCTGCATCTTCCTGATGGCGTCCCTGGCCGGCGGGCAGGCGGTGAGGACTGGGTGCATCGGGCTGGCTGCGTGGACTCGGCGCACGGGTGGCAGGCGACATTTATTTTTATCCGATCTGGACTGAGATTTATTTTATTTTTTTTATTTTTTATTTATTTATTTTTTTGAGATGGAGTCCTGCTCTGTCACCCAGGCTGGAGTGCAGTGGCGCGATCTCGGCTCACTGCAACCTCCGCCTCCCGGGTTCAAGCGATTCTCCTGCCTCAGACTCTGGAGTATCTGGGACTACAGGTGCCCGCCACCACTCCTGGCTAATTTTTGGATTTTTAGTAGAGACGGGATTTCACCGTGTTGGCCAGGATGGTCTCGATCTCCTGACTTTGTGATCCGCCTGCCTCTGCCTTCGAAAATGTTGAGGTTACAGGCATGAGTGAGCCACTGCGCCCGGCCTGGGACCGAGATTGTTTTAATGCTTGTAAAAAAACTTTGAGTTGATGGTCATCTGTAGAAAGATTTGGCTTTAAAAATAGTCATTCATCATGCTGACCATTAACGTAATGGGTCAGAAATCACACATACTCCATAGACTTCTAAGAAGAAAGGAAAAACAAACAAAACAAAACAATGGGTGAAGGTTATAAAAAGGTAAGTTCTCCAGCCTTGGAGAAGCATTCTTCCTCTTTTTCCTCCTCCTCCTTTTTTTTTTTGATCCACAGACTTGTTGGTAGTTGGCCTTTTGGGGACGTGTTTTTCACCACATGATACGGGAACTCTCAATATCTCTCAGGCTGACACCTTATTCTTTCTAATCTGATCAGACACAACGTTTTAAAAAGAAAATAGTTTTAATTAGATGACTGTTTTGCGTTGTTAAAATTTTTTCTTAAATATTTTAAAATTGATTTTTAATGTGATACAATGTGATTGCACAAAGTTAGAAATACAAAGTAAAAAGAAGAAAACAAGGAAAATTGCTAATTCCTCCATTCAGATTCATCATCGTGTTAAATGGTTTTATTTCATTCATTCCAGTCTTTTTTATTTTTCCTTTAATATGGGTACATGTTTGTATATATTTTTGCTAGTATAATAGAATAATGTGATAAACCTTTTTGTATACACATTTTGTGTACAGTTCTGACTATTTCCTTAGGATCAGTTTAAACCCTAAGTTTTAATACTCTGAAGGCTTAGAGTTACTGTGGGGCTTTGGGCTAGAGAGAGGGATTGGTGGTACTGAAGCTGTTGATTATAGGAGAAAAAGAACCCTGCTCCTGAAGTATTCCCTTCACCCCCACTTACAGTAATCCCTCCTGGTGTTGTAGAGATAGCATGGAATTGTCTCTGGCTAGATTATAATTCTGAGGACTCCGGGTTGATTTTTACAGTGTATAAGAAGAAAAAGTTAGAAAAGGGTTTTATGCATGTAAGTCACTCCTAAAAAGTTGTGTAGAAAAATGAAAGCTTATTTGAGATTATTATGTGCTATAAATATTCTGATCTATAAGTTTGATTTTTTTCCTTTGGGGAAAATATAAATCAGAGTATCTTGAGTATTCTTTCTTTAAAAGACAACATGGGTTCAATAACGGAGACTCACAAATGGAGGAATAAGAGAAATATGAAGTTTTGCTTTTGCAAACATACTGAAGTGGAAAATAGAAAAGCTGAAATCAACAATAACAACCACAAAAACGCCACATCCATTTGGACTAAAATACATGTATATATAACACAACTTTCCAAGCATAAAACGAAAACTCTCACCAAGGGAATGAAAAAAATACCTTTTGAAAAACTGCTGAAATAGGCCTGTTGTTGAAATAGTTTTATTTCCCCTTTAGAAGATCTATTTACTACAATTCTGGGAGCGAGAGGGATGATTGTGAATAAAGAATAGAGCCATTTAAGATGTTGTGCAGAGTACCAGAATTTATGAAGACTGGTTTGAATTAAAACTAAATGTCACCAGCAAATAGGAGCCAACAGAAATGTACGTTTCATTTATTGTGCTGGGAGCTGGGGAGGGCAGCAGGGATGAGCTTATACTTAAAAGGACTCTCTTTTATATGGCACTAATTTTTAGGTGGAGAACTTAGACCTTACAAAAACATGTGTTTCTCTCAAATCTTCTTAGCTGTTCAGATTAATTCATTAATTGGCAGGAGTTGAAATCATACCTCCTACTTGGGTATGTATAGTACAAGAGAAAAAAACTTCAAATATTAAATGCATTTATTCATTCAGCAAATTTGCATAGGAAGAAACAGGCGAGTTATCTGTCAACAATTAAAATGGAATGATTGGGAGATGCTGGGGGAACCCTTCAGGTTGGGTGGTCAGGGAAGGCCACTGTGTCGCACTGGAGAGCTCTCCAAGATGATTCCAGAAGTTCACCCCTTTCTCTTTTCAATTTAGCGTATCTGTCTTTCCTCCTTCTGTGGCCTTTGCCTTCTTGCAAAGGACTTTCTATTATTATTTACTTTGACAGAGGAACTGTAAAACTGAAATAAAGATGCAGTTAAAAAAAAGAGAGCCTGAAATGCATTTTTTATAAATTGGAGGCTCAGGTGCACCATCCTTTTTTCAACTCCAAGAAAATCATAAATTATTTTATTAGAGGGAATTACCACAGCTCTAGATCTTAATGATTGCTGAACAGGAGGTTTTTTTCTTTCCTAAACATCAAGTAGCTGCCAGTTTTAATTTTCTTTTGGAATTTACACATTAAAAACATTGTTTTAGCTGTTCAACAAAACTGTCTCTTATATCCAAGGGATGGTGCCAGAGTATGAAATATGCAGCTTGGTTTGATTTCTTCCCCTCTAGCCTGATCCACGAGTAAAAGCCAGCCTTGCATTTTATGACTGGAGGGGCAGTATTCAATATTAATAACTATGGGAAACAACCAGATTCCAATTTTACTCTTTAATATCTTCATGCCCAGAAGTTTTATATTCAGGTGTCTGAGAGTGGGTCGACCACATTTCTGGTATTTTTTTTTTTTTTCCCCAGACAGGGTCTTGCTCTGTTGCCCAGGCTGGAGTGTAGTGGCACCATCTCGGCTTACTGCAAGTTCCACCTCCTGAGTTCATGCCATTCTTCTGCCTCAGCCTCCCGAGTAGCTGGGACTGCAGCCCCCCACCACCACACCTGGCTAATTCTTTGTATTTTTCATAGAGATGGAGTTTCGCCGTGTTAGCCAGGATGGTCTCGATCTCCTGACCTCGTGATCTGCCTGCCTCGGCCTCCCAAAGTGCTGGGATTACAGGCGTGAGCCACCACTGCTGGCCTCCAGTATCTTTACTTGATGGTGCTGTGAGGTTCTTTCGCACAGATGATTAATGCAATAATTCTGGCACTTGGGATTTCAAGGACCAGTACAATGGCAAAAAAACCAAACCAAACCAAACCAAAACAAAACAAATATTTATTCAGTGTTTGTTATATGTCACACACTGGTCTAGGGTGTGGAGAAATAGCGGTGAACAACAACAAAAAGAAACTGGCAAAAATGATTGCCCGCTTGTAGAGTATATTCAAATAACGGGGGGATAAAGTAAATGTATAAACAAGTAATGTCTCATGGTGATAAGTACTCAAAAAAAAAAGATTGCAGAGAAGGGATAAGAGGACAATCAGGGTGGAAGTGAGGCCTGCAATTTTACAGAGGAAAAAGATAAGCTTGGGAAGTTCTTCCTGAGTTGGCCACTTGTAAGGATAGATGAGAAGGGGGCCAGACAGCAAGCCAATGTGAATGTCTAGGGAAGTTAGGAACAGCAAGTGCAAAGGCCCTGAGGCAAATGCATGCCTGATTCCGTCTAGGGCCAGTAGGGAGGCCAGTGTGGGCAGAGGGTGGGAAGAGGAAGGAGGAATTGTAGGTGATGGGCTCAGAGATGAAGGGTGAGATCACGTAGGTTCTTATCAGCCCTTAGAAAGACTCTTTGGGTTTTGGTCAGAGTGAAGTGGAAAACCATTTCAGGATTGTGAACCTTAGAATGTCACGATTTGATTTTCTACAAATACACTAAAAGAGAGGAAAGGAAGAAGTAGAGAGACCAATTGGAGACTATTTCAATAATCCAGGCAAGAGGAGATGGTGGGTTGGATCAGAGTAGTAGCAGTAAAAGTGGTGAGAAGTCTGATTTTGGATACATTTTGAAAATAAAGCCAACACGTTTTACTGCCAGTTTGGATGAAGGATGTAAGATATACAGAAGGGTTAACAATGAGTCCAAGGTTATAGGCTGGAGCAAATGGAAGGATAGAGTTGCTATTTACAGAGAAAAAGAGGATTGGGGGGTCTTTTAGGGGAAAGATCAGGAGCTTGATTTTGGACATACTGATTTTGAGGTGCTCATTATTAACAAAATGGAGACGATAAGCAGGATGCTGGGAATGAGTGGTTGAGATTAGAGGTATACATTTGGGAGCAGTCAGCACTAGTGTGCATACTCTGCACTGATGCGCACACTGGCTTCTATGTTGTTCTGTCTGTGACTTGCATAAAAACAGTCTTTGTGGCACACTCAAATTGTAACCCAGTTCCAAGCCAGGTATCTCAAATGGTATCTCTGGTTTAATTCTGGATTGGGGGTGATTTTATTTATATTTTGTCAATATTCATTTTCCCGTCTGTTCAGTCACAACCATGCAGCTACTTATTATTCCTATTTCTTGAGGGGTGTGGGTAAAGGGTCTGCTATTGATTTATAAGCCACAGCAAATTCAGCCCCTTTTGATACTCCTCTGAAAGGAGGCTCTCTTTGAGAAAGTTTTTGTTACCTTTCCAATTCATCCATCTTAGAGTTGATTATAATTTTAAGCTTCATGATGCAATAATCTATAACATTTATATAGTGCCATTATCTCTTTCCAAGTACTTTATGAACATTTGTTAATTGCTTGCCGCATTACCCCACGAGGCAGGTAAAGTCCCATTTGCATTCATTGTAAGAGTTTCCCGACAGTGGGGGTTTGAGCCGTGAAGCGAATGCCCATCAAACACCTGGCCAGTTAGGGATAGAGGGATCAATAAGCAAGTAATGATGATGGCTTCATCTTCATTAATTAATATTATTTTAGTACCTCCAGCATTCCCTCATAAAAGTCAGAACCCCAAATGAAAATGGTGTTTTCTTTCCCTAGAGACTAACTGATGCGATCAACTTGAACAGATGGGAGATATTAAGCACCAAGAGGGTGAATAAGGAGGTGGGCCCAAAGTGCCTTCAACACTTCTCATTATGAAAACAGAGAATTGTTACCCCAGAGGACTTTAAAGCAGTACTTAGTAATCTGGTAGAGTGAGAGTAGAAGCATTTGGCTGACTAGCTAACTACAAAGGCAACTTCATTTTTGCTTACAGTGTTAGAGATCTCAGGCAAAAGATGTTTTATTTATTAAAATTCACTCATTGACTGATTTGTTGATACCTCCTATATGATAGACACTTTATAGGCTCAAAGGCAGATAGCAATATATAAAAAAGACTAACATCTCTGCCCTCATGGAAATTTCTAGAGGGGGAATAATGATAATTAACATTTCAGTACTTAGCATATGCCAGACACTTTCTATCACTACATTTAACAAATCATTTGATTACAACAAGAGTCCTATCATTACCAATATTTTACAGAGAA